CTCATAACACTTACGGAATATGTAGTTTCACATACACTGAGTGACTCACGCGTCAAGTTTGGGTAAGTAAAATGTTAGTATTGCTTCTAAGCTACACGTGAATGAATTTCAGTCGTACCAGCTTACGTCAGTGGAAGCCTACTAATACGAACAAAACATCTCCTCAAAGAAGCGCTTTGAAAAATGTCGTTAACTTTGGGAGTCTTGCAAAAAGGGAAGATATGACTGGAGAGCCAACAGTCTTAAAAGACCGCCCAGCGTACCAAGGCACATTGTTTGATATCGTCTTTCATCAGAAGACGTCCAATTATGCACAAGGCACGCGCCTATTTAGTCCTTTACTACCACTATCCTAATTCACCCTGGTTGCAACACGTCTCTCTCTAACCCGTCAGGCAGTATGCGCAGGTTGAAACGTGCAGATAGGCAGTAACAATAATGGAACATGTATGTCCGCTTGACAGGTTTGTTCGCTGGCTTGTCAAACGTGCATCACTTAGATTTACCCTGCGGGTGGTAGTACTGTTCTGGAGAATACCATTTAGACCAGTTTGTCGAGTGCTGCGTTTGTTCAATAACACTCCATGGGTAGGTGACACAGGACGAATTTGATTGACGTGACAAGACACTAACACAAACATGCACTGCCCGCGAAGCAGACCTCTCCGTACGCCGGCAGCTTGTTCCGAATCCGTTGTTGTGCACCGAGAACGAGACGTGGTCAAAAGCACACTATGCAAAATTCACATCGCGCAGCATGGTGCCTGGGTACGGACACAGTGCTAGATAAGGCGTCTGATGTACCATGAATTCAATCCAAAATGCACACGGTTCCTATTAAACGGGAGGCAGACTGTACTCTCACGTCTGTATTTCTACAATCAGACCCGGTAAAAAAGGCCGGTGTGAGCTATCCTACGACCGAAACAGTTCACTGTACATACATACTGAACGCACTTAAGTTCACTAGTTCATTCTGTCAACGTAACAGACTATTTGCCCCTCGCCTTGACAATAACACCCTTTAACACATTATCAACCACTGACTTGTCGGTCTAATACAGGAGGCGAGTGGTTTTTTACTGTCAACCAAGCTGATAGGCATTGTCTGGAGTTCAAGATCTGAGCTGCCGTTGGCTCAGATGGTTGGGTTCAACTTATCTGCCTCTGGATTGAATTTCTTCATATCGTCATACCTATCCAACCAAAAGTCCAGTAATTTGATAAGCTGGTTGAATGATATGCTATGAAGAAACAATAAGAATTGGAAACCGAATTGTTACTCGTAAGCGTCCAGGCTCGGTTATATGTATCCAACGTAGTAAGTCAGAGTTTGGTTCAGCATTTGGTGATTTTCATTATTATAAGAACACTCAGTGGCTTAAGGTAAAGAGCTGTCATGCAAAACTCGGCAAATAGGAAAAAAGTGCTGACGCCAAGATGCCAAGTTTTGAAATTGAATGTGGAGCTATGTGCGATGCGTTTCAAAAACATTTCTGGACGATTTGGATGTTAGCCGATCCGGCGACGTACCACAGCGTTTGTGATATATCAATGTTCACAATGAGGTTAAAATTGAAGACAGTCATGTGTTACTAGCAGTGTCATTTTTTGTTTCTTCTTGACTGTATGCTTCCTGTAAATTGGTGAGATCTTAAATGCTAGCTGCAGGTTTATTCATTGTTCTTTCCACTCTGTTTCCTATAGAGAGGTATTCAGAATCTCAATATAATGAACTTGTTATTCATTAATGTAAAAAACGATAACAGTTCAGCTGTAGCACCCACTCGGTTTCTAGCCGTCATGTCTCACGGAGGAAGTATGAGGGCTGAGATACACTCTGATAGCTCAAGTTTAAACAGGAACTGTAGAGATTCCGGGGTTAGATTCGAAACTTGGACCTTCCGGCCAGTAATTTCGTGCATAAACCGTTTGCTGTCTTTTGCTAAATCTGTTTAATACTCTCTGCACCTATAGCACGGCTCTGCAGGTTCCCGCCTGTAGATGGAACATACTGATTCTGTTAACTAGAGTAACATTAAAAAGGTTTTAAATGAAATTTCTAGTGTTCTGGGAGATTTGCTGCTTCCAGTATCCCAAAGTATTAAGATTTGTTTTGCTAAAAGCATCTTATCCAGGGGATATCGGATGCGAAGGTTGCTTATCGGACGGATTAATGATTCTGAGGATCCTTCAGTAGATTCTGTTCGTGAAGTCAAACAACTTCATTCTGGTGATAGTTACTTCCATAGGGCACGGTCGACTGACGGAAAAAAGTGTTGTTTAAGGCAATACGTAAGGGGTGTATTGACAAGTGCTATTCAGTGGAAGCGATCTAAGTGAAAACTCGCGTCAACGTCCTCCGTTGATCGGGAATCCCTTCTCATGGTGTCGTAAGCACCGCAGACAAATTAGCTAACAGAGCAGAGTGAATACGCTGAAGCCTCAATTAGGAATTATTTTGGGTCTCAGCGTAGTACCGCTATTTGTCAGCACCATTTACATGCAGTACAGTGTCTTCGATGTCTACTTCTTCAAGAAACCCGAAACTAAACATAACCATAGCACCCAGAAAATGTACAGGTGATACTTTCAACCAGCACAGTGAGAGCATCAGATTAAAAAGGTGCCGAAGCTGAGATTCGACACGGTGAATTGCACCACTCCATTTATGAATCTTTTACTCATGCGAGAAGGCCTTCTTTTGCGAGAAAATTAAATGAACTTCAGTAGCTGACAGCACCTACGATAACGAATGTTAATTTTTCAGTTACAGTATTTGTGAGCGCAAGTACCACTGAATTTTTAGATATCAAAATAGCATCAAAACCACTAGCCTACAACGAAATTTATGTATCAGTCCGTTGACAGTGATTCCACATGTCAATTTTTTAACTTAAATTTGAAAAGTTATTTTGTTTAGTAAAGTGTCAAACCACTATTTGGCCTCCGCATTCCAAGCGACTGGCGGGATAGCTACCACAACTTATCCTTTGAAGAACTAAGTCCACCCAAATTGATTTGCTATTGAAGAGAACGTCCGTAGCTCACTCAGCGTGGTTGGTTTATCCTCTGAGCTGACCACGTTTACCGGTTGAGAAAGAGATAACCAGATACGACCGGCCACAAACTTGTACAGTCACCCAGTTAATCAAGCTCAAATGCCACAAATTCACCCCTAGAATATTGAAATTTTGATAGCTGCATAATCGTTTCACTTGTCGTTAAGTTGTGCGCTTCAAAACTTCCCGAGAAATTGGAAATTAAATTTGAAAGTTATTTTGTTTAGTAAAGTGTCAAACCACTATTTGGCCTCCGCATTCCAAGCGACTGGCGGGATAGCTACCACAACTTATCCTTTGAAGAACTAAGTCCACCCAAATTGATTTGCTATTGAAGAGAACGTCCGTAGCTCACTCAGCGTGGTTGGTTTATCCTCTGAGCTGACCACGTTTACCGGTTGAGAAAGAGATAACCAGATACGACCGGCCACAAACTTGTACAGTCACCCAGTTAATCAAGCTCAAATGCCACAAATTCACCCCTAGAATATTGAAATTTTGATAGCTGCATAATCGTTTCACTTGTCGTTAAGTTGTGCGCTTCAAAACTTCCCGAGAAATTGGAAAAGGACTGGACAGAAGCTACTTCAACTTTGATCGACCGACAGCTGTTGTTGTTAGCTTGACAACAGAATTATTCAACGAGAAGTGGTTATGAAAACAGTTATCAGTTGTCCAACTTGTGAAAGAATCCACGGTCTCTGGGTCCAAAAACGCCTAACGCGCTTGGACAAAATCTAGATGGCTCGTCCACTTAAGTCGCCGTATACTTTTTCTTTGCCACTTTCCAATATTCTTAGTATCTTCTTGGATATTCTGCAAAGCTTACTCTTGGTATGGATGTACCTTAGGATTTCTGTTCTTGGGCCTGGCTAGTAGGATCATCATAGAAAAGTTAGTCTCTGCGTGCATGTGGTTCAAGTGGGACCCCCATTTATCCTGTTGAAATCGGTCGTCTCGTCAAGACAGCAGCTGAATCATGACAGGTTTGGTACGCCTGTGCTTTGGCTTGGTGTTGTTTTGCTTCCTCTAACAGTTACCACTCATACGCCAATAATGGATTTTTCATAACGCTAAACACTCACCTAACGAACAAGAAAATTATAATTCAAGCCTGCATCAAATTACAAGGGTTCATTTTGGTCAACGATCCCAGAACGCACTGGAGAGGGTCATTAGTTTAATGATCTTGGTCTCGTGTTAGTCCCACATGGAAAAGATTTGGTGACCAAAACAACGACGATTCTTTTCGATTTATAGCAACCAAAATGAAGCCGGAAGCAGGCGCGGGCATATAATTTTGTGGTGCTCGGTTCCCGGTTCTTCTGTTATTTAGTCCTTCTCATGAGTTCCGGAAGTGATAATTTAGTGAATTTCCTTCTTGGCTTATGTGTGAAGCTGCAAGATTCCAGGCTTAAAACTATGAAGAAACAGTTGCTCGATGGAGAGTCTTCCCACATATTTTGAAAGAAAATCCTATTCAGTTGACTCTTTTGAAATGGGCTCAGCAATATCAATCTGCATCCAGGGAACTTGGTTTTTTGACTCTGAACTCTGAATGTACTTGGAGATGAGTCTTGGGTATCGGGGCAAATATTTGGCCGTCTATTTTTCAGTTGAACAATTCTACATTTTGTGGTATCGTGAACAGTGAATTGACCCACGCACTTTTAAACGCTGTCACGTGTCCATGCGCAAACCATCAGCTGATCCTGTTGTGGTTCTGAATGGAGTTAAATTCGGTTACTAATTAAATCCATTAAGTCGCTAGCGGGATACGGTAACCTAGATAACGCTAGATAGAGAAAAGCACAGCAACTGCCACATGTCACTATCCTGTAAAAAAGCGTGTTCTCTCGTATATTTTGTGGATGGCGATTGCTCACTTTTTATCTCAGTCAAGCATAGATCTAAAGGTTGAGCAATCTACCAACTCACCTGCCGACTGACAAGGACTCCCACCGTCAGCAAACCGGCCGTCAGCCAAACCAGCACATGTTCCCTGGCCAGAAACACGGCGATTTGTTCGAAGTTCCCCGAATTAATGGTTCGATGGAATCTGGACTGATTTGCAATGATTGTGGTAGTTGTGGCGGTGGTGATGTACCTGCAGGATGGAATTATTTTCCCATTCTGAGCAAAGTAACAAACAGTCTCGGAACCCGGAACTTGGGGAGGAGGGAACATTTTTGAACTTGGATCGAACACAGTCTGAGTTGCTCCGCTGCCTATTCGAGAAGTATTGTTTACTTCCCTCACTGCATTTGATTGGGTAAATACGGAATTTGTAGGGTTCACCGTCTCCGAAGGATCGTTGTCGACTTGACTTCCAATGACATCAACTGCGTTTTCCTTGTCCCAGGAATTTCTTGGCATACAACAGCAAAGCTCATTGAGATGTGGCCAGCATTCAATATCAGAGCGAGCAACACTTGTATAGTCTTCAGAAGAATCCACCGGTTCCCAACATAGGGAACACCAACAGTAGCTGTATTGCAATGCCCAGTGAATTGTCAACAGACTCCACCACATTGAGCTAGCGATGGCGAAGAAATATTGTACCATGAATACCAGTGCGCAGACTGAGTTGTCTAGTCCTTCCTGTAGCCTAATTTCCCGACCAGAATCTAGATCTGGACCACAAGTGACCGTTTCGCGACCAAGCCCGATGCTGAGGGCAAAACCCAAAGAATAAATTAGCTGACAAAGAGTAATATAGATCACAGGACGTTCAGTTAATCGAAATAGGCTGGAATGAATAAGATAGCCGACCAACGTCACACTTGTGAGCAAACTGCATATTCCGCTTAAAACACTAGTCCAAATTATAGATAACGTCTTGGCGTCAGGATGAAAAAGTATGTGCGCTTGGCAAAGCGGGGCACATCGGCCAGTTCTATTGATGTAGACGTAAGAGGTAGATTTTTTCAGAAACGCACAGTGGCGCAGCGTTTGAGCCATGACGGAAATAGCTGAGGCTTGTCTATTCGGATGGGGGGCGCGAGGTCCATTGTTCTCGTTAGTTAACTGAAATTCTGAGAATTGTTGTATCCAACTACTCACCAATTGTTCATCTTCTTCAACACCTGGTTTTCTGCCTAACAAATTCGGGCCAGGAGTAGGAATTTTATTCTCGACAGCACCCACCATTTTCGAAGGAGAAGCCCGTCCCTTGACTGCTTCATCATGTGTAGTGACGTCCCCTGCCTCACTGAATAGCGGGGTTTCCTCTGAATCTTGGGGACCCTCCATGCACATTGTACCTCCAACTACATTCTTCACAGGGAACCTGGAGCAGTTCAAGGTGGCTGGCCAATCAATGTCGAAGACTCGTAGGACTGGGGCACACCGAGCTTTCACGTGTTCACATAGTGGGCGACATGGGCCAATCAAGTGTCTGGTGTTCGCATCACACATTGGCGTGTAAACTGAGCATAAGAAGAAGCTGAGTTTATTTGAACATTTGTATGTGATGAGTGGTTTGAAGGTCTGAAGTTGGTGACGTGCGTCAAACTGTGTTTCCTGTCCAACCAAATTAGGCATACCTGTGAATTTGTAAAATGTGTTCTGACACTCAGGTATTTGAATAGGCATCGGTTTCAAGCATCGGAGTTGCTCCACAGGTTCCAGGGCTTTATCTTCTACAAATGTTGATACGGTGGAGCACAAAACAAGCCATTTGCAAAGGAGAAAATAACACCAGCCCAGAAGAAAATGATTCATTATGTGCCTGACGAAAGCATAAGTCAGTCATTTGATTTCAGCATTATGCAGAGTGATATTCGAGCATGTCTGGTCTATCAGTCCGAAGATTCGGTTCTTAGAACCTGATGAATGTGGAAAATCGTGGTCATTAGTGTGCATCCAACACCATTAATTTTGCACCTGATTGGGCTGTCACTCGTGTCCGCTGTGTCGCGAGGTTGAACATCAACAGTTGATTGGTCGCCGATCGTCGACCAATGGCGGAGGTGGCGTGAGTGAGGTACATGGTTGGTTGATTTATGGCCTAGTGCGATTGACACTAACTTGCATACAACAGGGTGATGCATACTCGATAACATGATAACTATTTACCCCATAAATAAATGGTTTTTGTCTGACCTAGATGATATGAAGGTGATAAGTGCTGTTTCCGTACTCAACATGTGACAACGCAAATGACTTCAACAGCAGGCAACACTTAAATGTCTTTAAATAAGACCTGAATGTTGTGTGAATTTCGATGAGTAATTACTTTGAACAGTAAAACTAGAGTGGGCATATCAAGACGCTCTCCATGGCGCCATAAAACCTCACGAGTTCCTGGGTATTTGTAGCATAAGTTTGACCATCTGCTACTGATATTTGTTCAACCGGAAGATGCCATTGTTTTCCTCAGGATTCACAAAGTAATCTTCACTATTTCCTCCGGGAAGACTCGGTGCCGGCTTAACCATGCGGTTGCTAAATAAGACTGAAGTTCGCCAGGCAATTCGAGTTGATCTTATCCGATGACTAATGCCTCTTCGCGGATGTTCCATTGATTTTGTCTATGTAATTTGCACTGGAAGTTGAAATGCGAGGGAATGCGAAGGAATGGTGTAATATGACAACCAGAAGCAAGGTTGTAACCAGTGACAAAAATAACCTTTCGGTAAGTCATCAACCTTGTTATGAACTAACTTGCCGAGTGACAGAAACCAGTTGTTGTCGGACTGGTGATTGGTTCGACAACTTGTTCTTGTTTCCCAAGCAGAGATATACCAATTATTTGTTCACATTGGTATTGATTATGGAGGGTCTGAAACATTTTCGCACCGAGTGTTTCCGTAGAATGTGTTGAAACAACACGTAGGGATTTTCAGGCCAAATAAAAATAGTTCGTGCGACTTCTCGCGTTGAGAAAGAATTGTGCGAGCCATTTGACTTTCCCGTTATTTTAGTTTTAGTTTGGGAGCTGGTGTTCCTCGGCGCTTTTATCACTTGTACTGGCTTAGCAGAAAAAACCGCTTATGTCTACTTTGTGTATGCATAGAGTATATGCCAGTGACGAGAAGCCGACCTCACATTGTCGGCCATTCGGTTGATTATCCCTTGGCTGATTGTCACTACTTGCGCTTCATTTCTGTCATTCTGTCTTTGTAAAACAGGTGTTGTGATTTGCAATCAGTTTTGGATACATAAGTCACGCGTATGCATAGACATTCACAACCAAGAATTTTTATCATTCAAACATCTGAATAAAGATAACACGAATGCCAGAAAGAACAATGAGCCGCCTAACCCTATCGCAAGTAGAGTTGGCAATTCGGAGTTTATGGAACTAATATCCCGTTTCACTGCCTTGATTAAATCCGAATGTAGCCTAGTAGTGCTAAAGTTTCAGGAAAAGATGCTGATGATTACGCAAAGTGGAGGCCAACTCGACTGCGCACTGATGGTATCATCTCGATTGGCCAGTAAACGTTTGTAATCTAACTGCTAAGCTCGAAGAACAGACCAGTAACTAACGTGGAGGCCAATCGTTGAATTATTATGACTCATGAAAGGAAACTCACGAAACTCACGAAATGATTCATGAGTGGTTAGGGCGCGAGCCTACTTACAGGAAGGTAGTAGTTCAAACCCAACCTCCGCATATCAGCTGCTCCTGTCTAGAGTTGAGCAACCTGACAGCGTCTCATCGCTCGCGCTTCCTTCTGGTAACATGGCAGCTAGGAACCGGATGCGTTTTACGGCTGAACGTACGAATTAGTTTTCATCTAACCAGACCAAGTCAAACACTCGAAATGAGTGTATTCTTCAATAAAACAGCGCAGTGCTGACCACGACTAGTCGGTAGAAAAGTATAAGTAAAAGTTGGTCCCTCACCCCTAGATTTCATCTGGCCTTCAGGCATTGCCAATGTTATTCAGCAACGCAAAACTAAAGAAGATGGTGGGGTGTATGGCTGAAAAGAAGACAGCTTAGACCAAGTGAAAACGAAAAGGGGGCCCTTCTAATCACGAAACGAACAAGTGAGCTTTCTTTTACCGGACGAGCGTGCTATCAGCTAAGCCGTCATGGAGCTTAATTCTTAGCACAGCGACACTTAAATTTCCCAATGATTTACCATCTTTCTGCCTAGCAGGTTAACAACCGACTTTTCTTGGCACCGTAATCAGTTCTCTCATGTGAATTTTACGATGGACCAGAGAATTACACTTTCAGGTACCGAAGAGGCATTGATTTCTGGAGTTGAGGATAGGAAAGAGATTCGGAGACTAAAATCTGCAATACAGACAAGAAGAGGTGGCTCACTGGTTGGTGGATGGCTTCCACTAACGATAACCAGAGGCAAAAAGAAGGAGGAAACATGTCACTATCGGCTTTAAAATTTCGAACAACCCCTACTTATTATCGACATGCATGGAATGGTTTGTGGACCATCCTCTGATCTCAAGAGTTCTGGGTCGAATTCGGCTCGAAGGGTATCAAAAACATCGATCATCTTTAAGCTGTTTACGAACACAAAATTTTCGAGCGTCCTGAATCGACGAGTTACTGTCACCTCTACCTTCATCCTAAAATTGATTTTGGCACCATAGCACGCACTGTACAAGCTTTTTTAAATACTCCCCCTGTCATATCAGAAATTATCTTTAATCAGGGCTTTATGTTACAGTTTCAGGCTTCAGATAAAAATTGCTCCGCCCTTTCGTTCAGTCGTCTAAGCTGTCATTTTCATACACCTGACTCTAAACTCGATTATTTCTATCCTGACCTCGCCCGCGTAACTATTTTTTGTCCATCTTCATTTTCTCCTCTCCTATCCTAACCCTCCGAAGTAGTGATAATGCCCTGTGTCCTCCAATAAAGATCCAGGCGACACCCACACACAGTAGGTAAACCACATGCAGTTCGTTCAGGGCCGATTGTGGTGCTACACAAAAGCCGTTGATTCTGATTCAAACCGGAGAGGACAATCTCCCACTGACTCAGCCAAAGCACATTGATATAACAGTAGTAGTTCTTTTGTACCAAATTCGAATGAGTGGATAACTTTCAACTCAATTGTTGCTTGAATGCCCGGTAGTGTTCCAAATTACACTCTGTACAGTTATGCCGGTGAAAGGAAGAGGGCCTTCGCTGCGGAGTCATTTATCCGAAAATGCCAACCGAACAGTTACAGACTATTGGACAGGGGGGCAAAACTTTCATATGCATCTTGTTTACAAAACTGAATTTCCACTTTCTCCTTGGACGCTTCCTCCTGAACTTTCCTGAATGTTCCTTGACTGTTGCTCAATTGGAAGCAAATGCTACGGAGTGACTCCACGAATTCTGTAATACACCTCACTTTTCAAGTGACAAAGTGCACTTACGAGGAAGCGTACTACTCGCATGCCACCCCAACCAGTAGTATCACCGCTACACCGGTACTGTCATTTCGTAATATTACAGTATTGTCCCTGCGGTATGCTGCGGTTGTACAGCCTTTGTACATCCACTTTTGTCCCAGCATTGAAATGTGCTATGACTCAATGATCTTTGAGGTTGTGGAGCTCTCAGTTCACCAGATCGCTCTGCTTGGTTCCCGAGCTTTTCAAGGTCCGCAAAAAAGTTTTAGACTTATCTGAAAGCTCTTCTAACGATGCAATTTCGACAAACCTCAAGTTTCAGCCTCGTTCTCCAGCTGACTGTAGATGAGCTGTTTTGGAATGTGGCTGTTGGAATTTTGTCTCACGCCGCTCATTCAGCATGGACGGTTATGAATCAGGGCAAGCTCAACTCCGTTGGTATTGGGTTGTTTCAACAATTCAGCATTCATTTCGAAAAATGAATCCGCAAGATTTCACCAAGACGAGGTAGGTGAGAACACTAATGTTTCATAGCCACACAATCATGTCAATTTATTTCAATAAGGTTTTATGATGGAAATAAGAAAGAAGTGAGACACAGGGGACCTGGGGCTAGTCCACAACAAACACCTGAGGTGCACACACATCCCGCATTCAGCCAGACAATCTGAATAGAAACTGACAACGTGAAAGCCACTGACATCGTCTAGCCACTACGTTGTTCCCTGTCTCCAGCCAAGCAGAAACAGTCACGTAGACTCTATCCTAGAAAGCGAACGGCATCAACAGCACCGAAACCCTGCACAACAGCCTTCAATCCCTTCCACCATGTCAAATTCTGTCCACCAGTATGTTTCTACGACCCCAAATTAGGCACGGAAAACAGCGCTGTTCTTGGCAAATGGTAACTCGGGTATGCCTCGCATACGACCCAGCCGTATTGGTTTGCAAAAAGGGATGCATTCTTCAAATGAAGTACCATCCGCTTCACCCAAAATCATCTCCTGATTGCCTCCATCCGAATTTGTCAAAGTCCTGATGAGTTTTCAGATCCTTAACCCAGAATTGCTCGCAGCCACATAACAATGCAACGCTCATTGTAGTCTGACACACATGTTCTTTGTGGCCCAGTGATGTGGTTTTGGCAGATTGGCAAAACCAATTCTGAACTTCGAGATTCATGCGTTGTGCTCTTCTCTCACTCGTTTCTCGGTGGTGATACAACTTCCGAGATACACATATTGTCGCAAAACTTCCAGTATCACTCTTTAAATTTTTAGAGGTATTTTCAAAGACTGTAAGTCCCGTAGTATGACTTTGTACTCTCTGGGCGCGAAGCATATGTCAAAGGACTGAGTGGTCTCGGGCGGCTTTCCAATTGATGAATGTGCTTCTTGCTATTCATCAAAAGTGAGAACAATATCGTCCGCATGGTCCTGGTTAACAAAGTCCTTGCTAAGAGAAATGTGAACATTGGAGCTATAGGGGCTTTCTGATGATGACTTCACTACTTCAACAGTGGCAAAAAACAAACAAAAATGAATAGAGTGGATGTTCCTACCGGATACCACTGCTAGTAGAAATGCCTTTGAATAGCATTTGAAGGAATGTGAAGTTGTGGTCAATGTATCCAGTTGCAGGCCGGAATCCTACTTACTGTTCTCGGGTTCAACCCCCATAATCTCGTAACACGATGTAGAGTAAGCAATACAAAGAATACAGTTACAAAC